TTTCATTATAATCTCATATTACTTTGATAGAGGTAATATTCACTGTAACTCATCTGACTGAAGATGAAGGATGGCAAGGTAACAAAGGAAGATAGAGGAAAGGAGTCTGTTTGGGGAAATAGATGTTTCTTCAAAGTTCTCCATTCCTGTACCTATCAATTTAGTAGTAAGAATTGTGAGCAGGAACCCCATGATCAAAGTCCTTCATTTCCTTGTGGCTAGACTCAATTCTAAAAATCATTTTTCTGTGGGCACCTGGGTGGCTCAATCAGTTGAGCATCTGCCTTGGCTCAGGTCATGATCTAAGGGTCCTGGGATGAGCCCTGCTCTGCTCCGTGGGGAGTCTGCTCTCTCTGTCTCCCTCTGCCCCTCCCCCTGCTCATGGGTTCACTGCCCGCACACACAAATAAAATAAATAAAATTTTAAAAATCATTTGTGCAACCTAAATGAAGCTTTGTGAAGCCAATCTTCCTTTGGAATTTTCCTACACCTAAGAGATGCAAAAAATGGTGGCTCATGCGAAACAATAAAACGGGACCTTTATCTCATACCATATACAAAAACCAACACAAAATTAAAGACAAATGTAAATGGTGAAACTATAAAACTACTAAAAGAAAACATAGGAAAAGTGTTCTTGACATTGGTTTGGTGATGAATTTTTGAATATGACATCAAAAGTACAGGCATCAAAAGCAAAAATAAGGGTGCCTGGGTGGCTCAATCGGTTAAGCATCTGACTCTTGCTTTCAGCTCAGGTCCTGATCTCAGGTTCATGGGACGGAGCCCCATGTTGGGCTCTGCACTCAGCGCCAGTCTGCTCAAGATTCTCTGCCTCTCCCTCTCCATCGGCCCTTCTCCCTGCTCTCTTGCTCGCTTGCTCTCTCTCCCTCTAAATAAGCAAATAATTTTCTATAAAAAAGCAAAAATAGGGGTGCTTTTGGCTCACTTGGTTAAGCATCTGCCTTCAGCTCAGGTCATGATCCCAGGGTCCTGGGATCGGGCCCCCCCAGAGGGCTCCTTGTTCCATGGGGAGCCTGTTCCTCCCACTCCCTCTGCCCCTCCCCACACCTCACTTGCACTCATTTCTCTCTCTCTCCCAGATAAATAAATAAAATCTTTAAAAAAAAAAAATCTTTAAAAAAAATTCAAAAATAGACAAGTAGGACTACATGATGCTAAAAAGCTTCTGCACATCTCAAGAAACTTAATCAAAGTATAAAGGCAACCTACAGATGGTGGGAGACATTTGCTAACAAATTTGCTAATATTTGCTAACCCCGATGAGGGGCTAATATCCAAAATATATAAGGAATGTGTGTAATAGCAAAAAGAAACCAAATAATTTGACTTTTTAAAAGATTTTATTTATTTATTTATTTGAAAGAGAGAGAGAGAATGAGAGGGGGAGAAGCAGACTCCCTGTGGAGCTGGAAGCCTGATGTGGGACTCGATCCCGGGACTCCAGGATCATGACCTGAGCCAAAGGCAGTCGCTTAACAAACTGAGCCACCCAGGTGCCCCAAACAATCTGATTTTAAAAACGGCAAAGGAGGGAGCCTGGGTGGCTCACACCCAAACCACCTCACACCTGTTTGGATGACTATTATCAAAAAGACAAAAGAAAACAAGGGTTGGTGATGACACAGAAAAGGGAGCTGTTAGTTGGAATATAAAATGATAGAGCCATTATGGAAAACAATATGGCAATTCCTCAAGAAATTAAAAATAAAACTACCATGAGATCTGGCAATCCCATTTCTGGGTATTTATCCAAAAGAAATGGAATCAGTATCTCAAAGATATGATATCTGCACTCCCATGTTCACTGCAGTATTATTCACCATAGTCAAGGTACGGAAACAACCTAAATGTCCACAGACAGATGAATGAATAAAGAAGATGTGGTACACACATAAAATGATATATTATTCAGCCTTTAAAAAGAAATCCTAGCATCTGCCACAACGTGGATGAACCTGAAGGACATTATGTTATGTGAAATAAGCTAGAAACAGAAAGACACATATTGCATAATGTCATTTTTATAGGTGGAATCTAAAATACACTCGCAGAAGCATAGAGTAAAATGTTGATTGTCAGGGGCTGGGGCAAGGGGGAACTGGAGTAATGTTGGTCAATAGGTGTAAAGTTTCAGTTATGCAAGATGACTAAGTTCTGGAGATCTAATGCACAGCATGGCGACTACAGTTAACAATACAATATTGTTTGCTTGAAATTTGCTAAGAGGGCAGATCTTTCATGTTCTCATGCAAACCCCCCAAAAAGATAACTCTATGTAGTTATAGATATGTTAATTATCTTGATTGCTATAACCATTTCACAGTGTATATCAAAAGATCAAGCTGTACACCCTAAATATACACAATTCTTATTTGTCAGTTAAATCTCAATAGAACTGTTTTTAAAACTGGTGGCTATGTGGGATTGCCTAAACCTGAAATTACCCTAAAATCCAATTGGTAAATATGTCAATGGATAGAAACTCATTTTTAAGGGAATTTTTTTAAGATTTATTTATTTATTTGAGAGAGAGAATCTTGAGCAGACCCCATACTCAGCACAGAGCCTGACACAGGGCTCAGCCCAGAGTTCACGACGTGAGGGTATGTCCTGAGTCGGACGCTTAACCAACTGAGCCACTCACGCGCCCCTTCAGGGAACATTTTTAAATGGGATGTCATTTATTAATGTTAAATAAAGATGGAATCTTGGTCTTATATTTACAAGTTCATCGAGCTAGGAGATGCTAGGAAGATGGAGGCAGGAAGGGAGAACAACGGAGGCATGCTCAGTGGCCAATGGTTGGGAAGGGACCAATAGCAAGCCGTCCCAGAAGCAAGCATGAAAGAATATGTAACCAAAAAATAATTAGCTGAGACCCTTAAAAGGCAAAGATCAACATAAAACATCTAAACCAGAAGGAGTCCCCTCAAGGAGAAAGGACAGATGCTGTCGGGGAGACTGGGAGTTTGACTGAGAAACTAGCTAAGAGTGGTAAGGCTGCTTTCGGAAGCCTTCTAGGTGCTTCCATTGTCCCTGCTGGGCTATTTTCAGCATAGGAAATGTGCTTAAGAACTTTGGGGTGACATAGGGAATGTGCTTAAGAACTCTGGGGTGACACTTAAGAACTTTGGGGAGAGCGCTGTGAAATGTGTAAGCCTGATGATTCACAGACCTGTACCCCTGGGGCAAATAATACATTATATGTTAACAAAAATAATTTTTAAAACAACTTTGAAGTGGTAAGTAATGGAAATACACAGTAGTGATCATCACTTGTTCCTTCAAGTGGCCTGAGGAAGAGGAAAGAGGGAATAACTGGGAGTGAGCACAGTGAGTCATGACCATCGACATGTCCAGTGTCCTAGGAGAAGACGTAGAGTGGAGGCGGGGCAGGGGAATAGAACAGAGCAGGCTGAGTGGCTCTTCTGTTGGCTATGGACAAGGGGCCACCACGATCCAGGGGGTGGGTTTGCCTTAAACTGGAGGGAAACAGATACATACCAACAGCAAGAGTCTCCCAGGGAATCTGTAAGAAGAGAGAGACTGCTGGCCCAGATCTGGACACACTGAAGAGCTCTCCCTTCAGGGGCTGTGGACCTATTAGTAGAAAGTGCCTCCCTTTGGGGAGATCGAGTCTGCTCCCTCTCACCAAAGCGCAAACTTCCTAAGAAAGGGCCCTGGTGTCTCTACATGCAACGGAACCAGTGAATCGTGGTTCCGGCACCTGCTCTAGATCAGGACAAAGACGCTGAGGAGCAGGACCTCAGAGCTTGATTCTTACAGCCAGAGGGAGAAAAACCCCAACATGTCCCCTGCAATCGTCAGCTAGTGTGCTTTCATGCAGACTGGAATATGCATTCATGTATATTTTCATCTTCGGAACAGGTGGTTTGAAATGCAAATAAAGTAATAAGTGTCAGAGCCGTATCCTAGCAGTAGCTACTTTGCAAACGTTACCATGGCACCGATTCAACACTGTTCTTAGAGGCAGCCACACCTCAGCAAGGTTTTTCTAACTTGGGACAGCAAAGTTCAAAGGAACTAACAGACACAAACTGCGAAAGAGTCCCGAACCAATTCAGGAGGTGAAGCTCGCCAGCACGACCGGCCTCAGGAGCCCCTCGAAACAGGGCATGGTACTGAAAGAAGGAAAAAAGGGAGCGGACCATCTTCTAGAACACCTGGAATGTTATCCAAGCCTGGAGACAAAATGATGGTAATTATAACTGCTAACATTTGTTTTTAGCTGCTAACAGATTGCGCACAGATTGGGAAGGGCAAACTCCATTCTCCCACTACTCCAGTGCAAACTGTGCTTTACCAGTACTCACTAAATCCTAGCTGGGGGTGAAGGGAGAGCAGATTGTCCTCATGTATGCCTCATTTATGTTAAAGGAAGGAAGGCTGTCGTCCCAAGGCCGCAGTCCAGGGGCCACTCACAACCAGTGGCAAGGTGCTGGGTTCTACAGATCTCTGCTTCTTACTGCTAGTAGACCTGCTCTACCAAAGGCATCACGCCTTTCCGAAGCACGGCCAAAGATGGTGGGGGAAGGACGAGGTAGTAGGGACACAGGATGCTGGGGAGACAATTCTCAGCCAACCTGGCCTGTGAACCAACTAAGATTCCCTGAGTCTGGTCCTGGGCTCAACAGGGTATGCCCCTGCCTGGGTAGGGGCACAGTGAATGGGCAGATAAGCAGAAGTGAAGGATACAAAAGAGTCTGTGATCATTGGCCAACTGATGATACAAATCACCCATTCTCTAAGAGTTCGAAGCTGACGGAGGTCTTTCCTGCTTCCCCCTCAGATGAAGGTGATCAAAGAAAAGTCTTCCAAAGACCCTCTGAAAAAGTGGAGGCTCCACCCATGGGGAACCACAGCTGACTGACAGTGAAAAGCCATTAGCAAGAATGAACCTCCAGAGCCCCCGCGCCCCGCCACCCCGTGCCCTATAGAGGCCACCAGTCCTCAAGATCTCCTTAAAGACAGGAAGGATGCATGCTTCCCAGCTAAAACAGCAGACGGAGTACAAAGAGAAGAGTACTTAGAAAAACAGCTGGGACTTCCCATACTGCCTTTATTTGGAAAGATACAAAGACTTCTGCTTCCCATAAGGGTAAGTGTGGGATGATTAAGTGTAGTTAACTCCACCCATTCCATCCACCCTAAAACAGGCAGACAAAGGCCTCATGTTATGGTTTCCGGAATATTCCAGTCGAATCATGGGGGACTTGAAACTGCAGTCTGAGTAGTCCCTTGAATATAGGCTGTGCCACCCAACAGCAGACCACATCCAAGGATCCAGATTCAAAAGTAAGTAGGACTCTGGGCTTGGTTTCAGCAAGTTTTGATATTCAGAGAGATCTGTCTGGTCTGATAGGTAAGGCTGAAAGAGGAGGAAATCCAGGGAGAAAAGCAATGCCCAGGATCAGCCTGAGATGGTGTGAGGCTCCAGGTAATGGATTCGTTGCCAAAAGGAGAAGAAAAGAAAGTCTGGGACTCAGAGGAAAAGATAGGTAAGGGCTGGGAGGCCTCGGGGCACGAATTCAGTCACGCCAGGAAAGTGCAGAACTGAGGAGGACACTGAGGTAAATGTCTGACCCTATGGACTAAATTAACAGGACAGAGATTAGGAGAAACCTGGAATTTGATGGGTTTGTGGCATCCAGAATTACTGCAGAGATATCAGCCATTAGGAAAATGGTGGCATGAGTAAATCACACTCCCTCTACAGCAGGACTGAGGCTCCTAAAGTATTTTCTGCCCAGGACAGGTTGGCAAAGGAGCTTTGCAGGTTTCAGTGGTACCAAATACAGCAGGGACAGAGGTGACTAGGGTTGAGGAAGAAAGAAGTTGATCCAAGTGCTTCCATATGAAAACTGTAATAAATACTCCTGAAATGACAAATTTGATTTTGGAAAGTGAGAAATATATTTTCTTTTGTTTTGTAATGGTCAGTTTATCTCTCTTTAATTTTCTGCTTTATCTGTGTTGTTGCCTGGACAAAGAGTTAAATGTAAAAGATAAAACCATACATACTAGAAAAAAATATAGGGAATACTTAACTCCTCTTTGATGGGGAAGTCTTTTCCAAATACAACAGTAAAAAATCTTAAGGGAAAAGATGAGACCATAGAAAAATGTAAAAATTGGTATAATTAAAAATGCCATCAGCATCATCAAATGGCTCCATAAACCAGGTAAAATACTTGCAAAAATTATGACAGCTGGGGCGCCTGGGTAGCTCAGTGGGTTAAGCTGCTGCCTTCGGCTCAGGTCATGATCTCAGAGTCCTGGGATCGAGCCCCGCATCGGGCTCTCTGCTCAGCAGGGAGCCTGCTTCCTCCTCTCTCTCTGCCTGCCTCTCTGCCTGCTTGTGATCTCTCTCTGTCAAATAAATAAATAAAATCTTTAAAAAAAAATTATGACAGATAATATTCTTAATACAAAAAGAGTTCTTGCAGGGCACCTGGGTGGCTCAGTGGGTTAAAGCGTCATGATCTCAGGGTCCTGGGATCGAGCCCCACATCGGGCTCTCTGCTCAATGGGAAGCCCGCTTCTCCCTCTCTCTCTGCCTGCCTCTCTGCTTACTTGTGATCTCCTGTCTGTCAAATAAATAAATAAAATATTTAAAAAACAAAAACAAAACAAACCAAAGACAGTTCTTGCAAATCAGTAAGGAAAACCTCAACAAAGCGCTGGGGGGCGGGGGGGGGGGCGGAGGGATCAGACATATTTCACAGAAGGATAAATACTACAGCCCAATAAGCATGTGAAAATGTGTTCAACCTCACGAGGAATTGAAAAGGTCCAAATTATAGCCAAAAAGGGATACGGATGCTCACTTCTCAAATGGGCAAAGGCGAATGAGATAGAATTGGGACACCGTCCTAAGAAGCAATCTGACAAAGTCTGAGCTAATAATACAACTTATAGTAATCTACATTAAAAGAAAAGAAAAACACAACTTTATTTCCAGAAATGCTCATCGAAGTATTATTTATAATAATAAAAAGAGGCAAGAACCTGAATATTTGATTACATACTTGTTGCATAATAAAATACTAATTAGCCATGAATATTGCTTTTTGAAAATTTTTTAATAACATGGGGAAGTACTCATGACCTACACGAAGTGAGAAGCCAAGTATAAAACATGATTTTATTTCTGTTGTGCATAACAAACACGTAGCAAAAAGACTGGAGGGAAGAGACATGTTAACAGTTAGGGAACATAAACTGAGAGAAATCAGTGTGAGTTTTTATTTTTCCCTTTATGTATTAGCATTTTTAAAAATATCGTACAAGAAATACATAATACTTGAATAATACAAAGTTATTTTAAAATGTTCTTGAAACTATATTAGAATGCCCTAAGTTGCTGCGTGGGAACAATGTAACTGAGTAATTTTTGTTTAAAGGAAAAAAATCATTACTTACAGACCTCAACTTTTGTGGTTTAACATCCCAGAAACTATTCACTTGAAATATCCTAAAGAACCATATGTGCTTTCCAGAATGGTAAAGTTGCCAAAATGTTCTAACAAGACCCACCCACTGGAAATAAAACCCTCAAATAGCAAAGTGTTCACTACCCAAAGAATACTCAAATGGAATTCCCAAGAGAAGTCTCCACCAGTAACCATGATCCTTTCCCCAAAAGGATAATTAGCTTCAATTTATTGCCGCTGATCTGAAGAAACAGCTGATTTTAAATGCAAGCACATTCAAAACCTATGCAGATAATTAGATAATATCATTCAAGAAAGGCACAAAGGAAGAACATTACAAACAAAATTGCAAACCCCCTGCTTATTTGTTTAGGCTTTCAAAAACAAGAATTGTTTAGATAATCCCGGAATTTGTACTATCACTGCTGAGAGCTAATCTTTAGTGAGTTCTTAACATGAGTCAGGCACATAATAAAGCATTGTATATGTATCCCATTATTCACCCCTCAAGAGAACCTTTTAGTGAGAGGTAGATACTATTCTTACCCTCACTTTACAGACAAGGAAGCTACGACTCCCAGACTTTAAACAACTTGCAGAAAGTCACTGAGCTGGTAAGGGGCAGAGCCCAGATTTGAAACAAGGCAGTCTTGTTTCCAGAACTTGCACTGTTAACCCATTTGCTGTGTTGTCTCACAATCTGTGAAACAGGTAAAGCTGCATTATGCCTTTCTTTTTCATCTCCTCCCCACACCCCAAGAATCTCAATGAACAAAGATGAATCTTGAGCTTCCATATATATATAACTATCTTTTAAAATCAAAGACGCTGGGGCGCCTGGGTGGCTCAGTGGGTTAAAGCCTCTGCCTTCGGCTCTGGTCGTGATCCTGATCCCAGGGTCCTGATCCCAGGGTCCTGGGGTCGAGCCCCACATCCGGCTCCCTGCTTAGCAGGGAGCCTGCCTCCCTCTCTCTCGCTCTGCCTGCCTCTGCCTAGGTGTGTTCTCTGTCAAATAAATAAATAAATAAATAAAATCTTTGGGGAAAAAAAAAATTAAAGATGCTATAGCTATTGTGCTACCTTCTTTAAAGAAAAGTATGGCTCAATAAATCAATGCATTTTCTTTAGTTTTTCCTGCACTGGTTTTACGTATAATTTCTTTTCCTTGTTTAGGGTTGCAGCTAGAAGACCATAAATCTAGCAATGGAACCCTTATATGAAGAATACCTAGCAAATCATGGAACAATAGTAAAACCTTATTACTGGCTAAGCTTCTCTCTAGATTGTTCGAACTGTCCTTACCATATTCGGACAGGTGAAGAAGCAAGAGTTCCCTATACAGAATTTCATCAGATTTTTGGATTCCCTTATGGGCCAGTGTATCCTCAAACAAAGCACCTCACGTTTTATGAGCTAAAAACTTCTTCTGGAAGCCTGGTGCAAAAGGGCCACGCTAGCAGTTGCACTGAGAACAATACCCATCCAGAATCGATGCTATTCGAGATGAACGGTTACTTTCAGGCAGCCCGACACAAAAACAATGCTATCAGGCACATCATTCTGTATTCCAACAACTCTCCTTGTAATGAAGCCAACCACTGCTGCATCAGCAAAATGTACAATTTCTTAATAATGTATCCAGACGTTACTCTCAGCATTTACTTTGCTCAGCTCTATCATACTGAGGCCAAATTTCCTGCCTCGGCGTGGAACCGGGAAGCTCTCCGGAGCCTGGCCAGTTTATGGCCACAGGTCACCTTGAGCCCAATAAGTGGTGGAATTTGGCATTCTCTCCTCAACAGCTTTGTAAGCGGTGTCTCAGGACCCACTGTTTTCCAGCCCATTTTAACTGGGAGAGCACTGGCTGATAGGCACAATGCTTACGAAATCAACAGGATAACGGGAGTGAAACCTTATTTCACTGATGTTCTTCCCCAGACAAAAGAGAATCGGAACATAAAAGCTCAGGTGGCTTTAGAGAGCTACCCCTTCAACAAGGTCTTTCCTGGGCAGTATTTTCAAGTGACACGTGGACAACTGCAACCCAATCTGACCCCAGACCTCAGAGTTCCCGTCGTTTTTGTGTTGGTGCCTTTCAGAGACCTACCACCAATCCATGTGCGTCAAAACGCACACAAACCCAGGATTATTGTGAGGCACTTAAATATGCCTCAAATGTCATTCCCGGACACCAAGGACCCCAGAAGGCCTCCCATGGGAATGTCAGTGGAAAGAGTGGAAATCACGGAGCAGGTTGCAAGTACCAAAGAAGCAGATGAAAAGAAGAAAGGGAAAAAATAAAATCTATATTTCTACAACGTGAGACCAAACAACTATGAGAGGACAAATTCAATAGCAAAGAAAAATCTAGAGACTTTCTCTCTTGGGTCTGATCCAAGATGGGAGATGAATTGATACACTAAAAGCAAAACCTGAAATATTTGCTATCTCAACTGCTATAAAGCTACCCAACTTTTACCAGAATCCAAGATGTTTTCATAAGCAACTTGACCTCTCTCCTTTATTTTGAAAGCGACAGTATCAAAATGGAGCCATTAGTACCTTATTAATACTTTGGTGTGGAAAAGAAAACGTCATTATTCTAGTCTACCCACACCATCTTTCCACCGAAAAAGGCTATGGACTAAACAGCTTCCTAAATTGGTTTTAGTATAAAAATTTACTGTAAAATTGGAAAACAGCCTTAAGTTACTGACATTAAGTGCTGTCTGCAAAAGCAAACCAGTGATTTTCCATTAATTGTTAATCATGAACAGAAGACTTTAGGCAGCCTATTTTTTTCCTAAAGTGGTTCAAAATAGTTTTTTATGGAAAAAAAAAAAACAACTCTTTTACTAATTGATCATATATAGCTGCAAAAATTGATTTTTGAAACCTAGTCCCCTGCTCAATGTTGATTTTTCCCAGCTCAGATCTCTCCTTCCTGATCAGACAACAGAGGCAGGATGATACATGAGACCCTGCAAAGGCTCCTTCCATCACACACCGTGTAAAATCCAAGCTGTTCTTACTGGCTGTGAAGGCTCCTTCTCTACCTTCCAGCTGCCCAATCTCATCGCAAGATTTTAAGTTCCTACTGGTCAGGCACCTCCCACTCCCTCTATGGTTTTCCCTTAGAATCTAGCCAAGTAGCCAGGCAAAATGCAGGTTGCAAGGTTGTGAATCTACATCTCAATAATGTTACCAATCACTGCTTTCCAACACTCCATACTCATTCCAACAAAGAGCTCCCTTAACCATCCTGCAATGGACATCGTTTTTTTGTTAGCATCCATTCCCCCTCCTTCTGATATAGCGCCACAATGCATAATTTGTTTTACTTCCCTTTTCTCTAACCTCTTCTCTTTTCAGCAGTGTATATCTATACCGTCTCTTAAAATCTTGCTCAAAACACTTCTAGGAAGTGCTCCTTGAATAACCATCTGAGCATGTACATTAAAACACTTTGTTTAATTCATTCATTAATGCGGCCTCATTTTCCTCTTAGAAATATGTAAAAACATATTACGAGAAAAATGTATATCCATTTGTAACTGGCTACCAAATTTTTTCTTTTTTTTAAAAAAAGATTTGCTTGGGCGCCTGGGTGGCTCAGTGGGTTAAGCCGCTGCCTTCGGCTCAGGTCATGATCTCAGGGTCCTGGTATCGAGTCCCACATCGGGCTCTCTGCTCGGCGGGGAGCCTGCTTCCCTCTCTCTCTTTCTCTCTGCCTGCCTCTCCACCTACCTGTGATCTCTCTCTGTCAAATAAATAAATAAAATCTTAAAAAAAAAAAAGATTTGCTTATTTTTAGAGAGAGAGAGAGCATGCGTGGTGGGGAGGGGCAGAGGGAGAGAGAATCTCAAACAGATTCCCCACTGAGCATGGCCCTCCCGCCCCCCACCCAATGTGGGCTCCACCTTTTGACCCAGAGATCATGACCTGAGCTAAAATCAAGAGTCAGATGCTCAACTGACAGACCCACCCAGGCACCCCAAATTTTTTCTTAAGTATGTAAAAGTAATGCTAAGCTAATAAGATAGTTTTGCCATTAAAAAAAGCTTAAAGCAGATGGGGTTAACTGGGTGATGGGCATTGGGGAAGGTATATGTTATAATGAGAACTGGACATTGTATAAGACTGATGAATCACAGACCTGTACCTCTGAAGCCAATAATACATTATATGTTAATTAATTGAATTTAAATTTTAAAAAGGAAAAGTTTTTTTTTTTTTTAAATTTTTAAACATAAAAATAGGGCATCTGGGTGGCTCAATGGGTTAAGCCTCTGCCTTCAACTTGGGTCATGATCTCAGGGTTCTGGGATCGAGCCCTGCATCAGGCTCTCTGCTCAGCAGGGAGCCTGCTTCCCCTCTCTCTCTGCCTGCCTCTCTGACTACTTGTGATCTCTCTCTTTGTCAAATAAATAAATAAAATCTTTAAAAAAAAATAAAAAGAAATTAAAAGCTTAAAGCACATGTCAAAGGAGGAAGAGGAGGAGGAGAAAGAAAAGAAAATAAAAATGTTTAGAATAGAAATTTCTATTGTGATTAAAATAAACATCATTAAAATTTTTAAAAGAATATTCTATTGTTAATGTGACAATTTTTATAGAATTATTGGAATATAGTTATGTTGTAGTATATAGTAATTATTATTTTATAAAGTACTGAAGTTTATTATAAGATTATGAAATCATCTGTCTACAATTTGGGATGTAGAGTCAAAAAAAAAAAAAAGACCCAATGTGACAAATTCAGCATCTCTATCCAGGTGGGCAACTGAGCTAAGAGCATTGGCAAATCTGAAGGATTTGGGGAACTGGCTCTGAAGCCTCTTGCCAGGCTGGCTGGTCATGTCCTGCAGCAGTTGGGAAGGACCTGACCCCCTTACAGGCCTCTCAAAAAAAAAGGGAAAAAGTAGATTCAAATAGTTGCCATGAACTCTATCTACAAAGCAGTCAAAAAACGTAACAATCGGGCTACAAGGCATTCAGTTAAAAACAAAGTCTGAAGGGGAGCCTGGGTGGCTCAGTCAGCTAAGCTCCAACTCGTAATCTTAGCTCAGGCCATGATTTCAGGGTTCTGAGACTGAGCCCCAAGTTGGGCTCCATACTCAGCACAGAGTCTGCTTGGGTTCTCTCTCTCACTCTCTCTCCCTCTGGCCTTCCTCCCACTCACACTCTCTCCCGCTCTCTCTAAAAAAAATAAATAAATCTTTAGAAGAAACATTTAAAAAAAAACATAGTCTGAAATCTGAGATGAATTTGTATTTCAACAGTATATAACGAAGGGAGAAATGTTGCCCAAACTATAGGACAGGAAAGTATTTTTTGGCAGTTCAATTTTTGTACTAGTTAGATATGTCTGGTGCTAGGAAGAATGTCACTGACAGGTCATGAGTCCTGGCCAATATAGTCAAGCCTTCAAGAGACTGTTACGAAAGCATAAAGATATAGGGCCCTAGGCATGTAGTCTCTCTTTCCCCTTCGGTAAAACAAGAGATACAGACAAGCTCATACATAAGGTCCTTTCAGCTCTATCCATACTAAGATGGCTTGGATCAGAAGAATAGATCCACAGAGCAAGTGTTCACAGTGCAGTGGTTACACTGCTTAATCACCACACAAGGGATTCCTGGTCACGTTGGGCTGGTCCGGGGACTTAGGGAAGCATCAAAGTTGGAATGTTCCACCTCTCTTTAGCACACTGGCATTACAGATAGTGAAGAATTATAACTGCTCCCACACTTAGAGAAACTCCAGTAAAGAAAACACAAGCCAATAAATTAAGCAGCTAGTGGTGGGTGATTTAAAGGAGGAAGGGGGCTATATCCCAAGAAACCGATGAGAAAGGGGAACGTTACCTTTATGGATCTACCAGGTTTGGCTCTTAGTCTGTAGGCTCAGCTACCGGCTTAGTCAGTACAGAGAGTGAATCTATCTATCTGTATCTATCTGTAATGAATCAGGGCAGACCTTGATTAGTAAAGCTCCCAAGATAGACATGTAAAAACAGAAGGCTAATGCACTGATTTCCAGTGAGACTTACAACGGGATATGCAACCAGATAATTCAAGCAGTCTCGCCTATACAGCCTCTCCATTCAGAGACGCTACCTGAGAAGCCAAGTTATTTATTTTTTTTAAGGTTGCTTTGTGGATTAGGGGAGTTCATTATTTGAAGTAAATGTTTACTGCCATCACTGCTTACCAGTGGCTTACCAGGGACACTGTGCCTGAAACGGTGGGCTCTGCCCAAGGACCCCAACCCCCAGACAGTGTTTAAGGGGGCCGAGACTGTAAGAGACCACAGAAACCTTTATAACCAACTCCTGTCATGACTAGTACAGATTCTCTATAGATGTTAATGTTTTATCAAGCTACCATCTAATCCTGTTGGCTTGGGAGCAAATCCTAAATGTTACTATGTAACAGTAGTTTTTTGATTCAAAGCACATGAAATCCAAAAAGTTTAGCTCAAACAATATCATGTTATGCATCTTATTTCCAAAGGTTTTAAAGAAAGCTTCATGGTAACTTACACTAATTAAGAATAATATTATTACTGCCTAACATTTAGTGAGAACTGTATGTCAGGCACTTTTCTAAACAGTTACATGTATTAACTCATTTAACGCTCCCAATAATTCCATGAGGTAGGTATTACTAAAATATCTATTTTCTTTTTTTAAAGACATTTTTTTTCTTTTTAGATTTTATTTATTTATTTGACAGACAAAGATCACAAGAAGGCAGAGAGGCAGGCAGTGGGGGTGGGAAGCAGGCTCCCGGCCGAGCAGAGAGCCCAATGTGGGGCTCCATCCCAGGACCCCAGGATCATGACCTGAGCCGAAGGCAGAGGCTTTAACCCACTGAGCCACCCAGGCGCCCCTAAAATATCTATTTTCACGTAAGGAAATTGCACCACAGAAAGCTCATGGAGTAAAGGCTGAACTAAGGGCAAACCCAGGAGCTCTAGCTCCAGAATCCCTGTTCTTAATCACTACACTTTAATGGCTCTCAAAATAGCAACAATATGGACTCAGTACAAAGCCTGGGATCAATATCCATTTTTACCCACACTGAGGCCTTTCTGTAGTTTTGCTCAGACTATTGTATCAATAGGCATCCTAGAGACTATGGGAGCTAGGGAGGCTGGGTGGGCTGGGCTGGAGAACTTCAGGAGCTCTAGATCCCAGAGTCTGAGCACCCTCCCCATCCCCAACTCTTGTTTTAGCTGGAGCCTCAGACCAAATATACATCCTAAGATTACCTTGACTTGATGTCTCTGACTCTCAGGGATGTAGCAAATCAGAGACCTAAGGCAATGGAACATCACTTTATTACTCTATTTAGTTAATTAAATGGAATTGGTGCCTCAAAAAATTAAAAATAGAGTTATGTGATCCAGCAATTCTTCTTCTGAGTATATAACCAAAAGAATTGAAAATGGGGTCTTAGGTATTTGTATAACCATATTCAGGGCACCTGGGTGGCTCAGTGGGTTAGGCTGCTGCCTTCGGCTCAGGTCATGATGTCAGGGTCCTGGGATCGAGTCCCGTATCGGGCTCTCTGCTCAGCAGGGAGCCTGCTTCCCTCTCTCTCTCTCTGCCTGCCTCTCTGCCTACTTGTGATCTCTGTCTGTCAAATAAATAAATGAAGTCTTTAAAAAAAAAACCATATTCATAGCAGCATTATTCATAAGAGCCATAAGTAATCCAAGTGTCCATCAATAGATGAATGGATAGAGAGAATGTCGAATATATATACAATGGAATACTACTCAGCCTTGAAAAGGAACAACGTCTTGAC